GTTATTGGCAATAAGCTAAGTAAACTCCAAATTTATAGTGGTGTGAAAATACTGAATTAGATATATTTTTTTTAAACTTTGTACAACTAAATCTACACTTCTACCGGACCGATTTTGTTACTTAATGGGTCGTTGGAAAGCCTAATTCGTGTAGATTTGCAAATAATTATGAAAGTTTGATTTTATTACATATTTGAGGTGAAAAAATAAAAATAAACAATAATACATTTAAAACGCCTTTTTCCCCCAAGTTTATATTTCCAAGTTCATATTTGTAGCCAAATTTAGGCTGCCTTTATTGAGTATTTTCAAGAAATCCGTAATAGTAATTTGTAGTAAATTTTATTCTCTATCAGAATATCACCTTCCACTTTGGTCGATTTCCTCACCGTTTCAAAGTTATTTGCAAAAAACGTTAAGCAACCTCCCTACTTATAGTGGTGAGAAAATACTAAATTAAAGATGTTGTTGTTGAACTTTATACAATTAAATCTACAGTTCTACTGAACCGATTTTAATAATTAATAGGTCATTGGAAAGCATAATTCGTGTAGATTTGCAAATAATTATGAAAGTATGATTTTTTAAAGATTTACTAGGTGAACCCCGTCAAAGTCGACAGTTGCTGTTGAGGTTGCAAGCAAGATCGTTGACTATAAATCGATGATAATTAATTCAATTTTTCGAACATTTTGGGTTGTTCATGATTTAGCAGTGTGCTTTAGGTACGTCCGATATTAATAATAATCTTTATAATTAATAATTCAAATGGAAGCTGGTATTTCACTGATGGTTCTTAGGTCCTAAGAACCTGCTTTTGGATAATCTTTTGGAGAATGGCAAATAGGATAACGTAATTAGAATTGAGTAAATATATCTAAAACTAAATTCCATATCCAAGATATAATCAAATTTATGTTTTCTGATTGAATGATATAGTATCTTGAACTTAACTGTTTGAAACTTTCAATATCTCAAATGAAATCCTTTATTTCTAGAAGTATTTTAAGGTCAAGACATATAAAATAACATAAATAAAAATAGAGTTACGATCATTGATTGCAGATAAGTACTAAAACTATTATAATTATTGTTGATTCATGATTCAGCAGATTGTGCTTTAGGTAGTCCGATCTTAATAATCAATAGCTCAAATGAAAGCTGGTATTTCATTAAAGGTTTTTTACCAAAATATATAGGGTAATGTAATTAGAACTGCTGAAATACATCTTTAATTGAAGTTAAAAATAAAAAAAATAAATTTATAGTTTTTTGTCGAGTAATACATTAGATAAATTAATGATGATACTTGATGCAAATATGTGCTTGCATAGCTTTATTTTAAGATCAAAATTATGAAAATCGGTCGGGTAGAAGAGCCAAACGAACTTGAATAAAACACAAATTTAACTCCCATAAGAAATGTACAGGGAGGCAACTCGAAATATACGTTAAAATGAATGCCGATGCTTGATGGCAAATCTGTGGTGCGTCCACACCTTTAGTGTAAGGCCAAAATTAAGAAAATCGTTCGGGTAGAAGAGCTAACCCGACTCGGAAAAGAAAAACAATAAATTTTATAGATGGTAATAATTGGTTTACCATTATGCATAATCTAATCATACGAAACTTGTGTTAATAATTAATTGAACAGCTTATTCGTATATTGTTATTTAATTGATTTGTCTTTGATTGAATGTTGTTGCTAACAATTTGCATTTGTGTTTAAAGTGTGTTCCTTATGTTAAGTGTGTGATTCTAATGTTATGTGCTTAATCCGTACCATTAATATTGGTGAGTAAAGTGGTGTATGGATTTCATAATCATTATTTTACTAGATACCATTGTATTTTATTTAACAACAATGGGCTCTGTTGCTAGTGCTTAATATTGCCTGAAAGTTTCATTACAATCTGTCGAGCGGTTTCGGAGCCCATAAAGGACAAACAAACAAACATACATTGGATTATATATATATATATATATATATATATATATATATATATATATATAGATGGATGTACCTATATTTAATCTCTAGTTTATAAACCCCCTATTTGTATTGTTTGGTTGGAATACTGGTGTAGGACAAAGTAAGTACAGTAATTGCAACAATTAACAGTTTTCTGTACTATAATTAGTGCAAGGAAGAAGTAAACCCACTTTGTTGGGTGAATAGGAAAATAGCTATTTTGATTACTAGGTGGCGTTTACAAAGGCATCCACAAAATTGAGCGGAGTCATCAAGGGTTCATATGGTTTTTGTCATACTGCAGTGAAAACAGTCGTTTTTAGTGCATGTATTGCGGGTCTAGAGTTGCATTTTTACTTTTAAGGGAAGAAAAATCGTTTTTAGCCTCTATGGTGTAAAAATCAGCTGTTGTCAACTCAGTTGTAAATTTATATTGTAAACGATTGCATGTATCGAAAATATGTATCGATTCGTGCTTCGTAATCATTTTAACCTACAGTCTACAGTCTCTTACCATAGCATTTTAACATTGCAGATACATTAATCCATTCCCACACTCACCACTGCTCACCTTTAGGCCTACTACTTCCTTCACCAACCCCTACGTCGTGGACCTGTTTCCCTCCCTTCCCATAGCATTTTAGGATTGCAGATACTTTAATCTAATCGTCATAAACAGTGTCCACGCTCCGGACAGCTCGCCTTGAATACGGCCCTCACCATTTCCTACATCGCGGACCTGGCTTCCTCCCTTCGAATAGCATTTTAGGACTGTAGATACATTAATCTAATCCACATAACCAGTTTCCAAACTCCGGACAGCTCGCCTTGACTACTTCCTTCATCACTTCCTACGTCGCGGACCTGGTTTCCTCCCTTCCCATAGCATTTTAGGATTGCAGATACCTTAATCTAATCGTCACAAACAGTTACCACAGTCCGGTCCGGACTGCTTGCCTTTACAACTTCCTTCACCACTTCCTACGTCACAGACCTGTTTCCCTCCCTTCCCATAGCATCATAGGATTGCAAATACCTTAATCTAATGGTCTGCTTACCTTTTACTACTTCCTTCACCACTTCCTACGTCACAGACCTGTTTCCCTCCCTTCCCATAGCATCATAGGATTGCAAATACCTTAATCTAATGGTCTGCTTACCTTTACTACTTCCTTCACCACTTCCTACGTCACAGACCTGTTTCCCTCCCTTCCCATAGCATCATAGGATTGCAAATACCTTAATCTAATGGTCTGCTTGCCTTTACTACTTCCTTCACCACTTCCTACGTCGTGGACCTGTTTTCCTCCCTTCCAATAGTATTTTAGGATTGTAGATAAATCGTCATAAACAGTTTCCACACTCCGGACAGCACACCTTGACTACTTCCCTCACCACTTCCTACGTCACATACCTGTTTCCCTCCCTTCCCATAGCATCATAGGATTGCAAATACCTTAATCTAATGGTCTGCTTGCCTTTACTACTTTCTTCACCACTTTCTACGTCGCGGACCTGTTTTCCTCCCTTACCATAGATTTTTAGGAATAAGATACCTAAATCTAATCGTCATAAACTATAAACAGTTTTCACACTCCAGACTGCTCACATTTACTACTTCCTTCACCACTTCCTACGTCACGGACCTCAAGCTAGTGTTGTCATATTTATGATCCATACCGTTTCTGTTCTAATATCTGTGGAATAATTCTATCAGCTATTTCTTTATCTACTGCATTCAAAAGTCAACAGCTGATCATATGTCTTTGTTTATGTGTCAAATACTGCTTCCATAAGGATTACATTGAAACTTTGAATCCCCGTGGGGTGGATTCCTGAGGGACTTTTTTAACGCCATATAGATGTTGGCACTCACCGATATGGTCTTTATCACCATGCAAAATTTGAAAACGATTGATTCAGCCGTCTAGGAGGAGTTTTGCGTATTACGAAATGCATAACAGTCGACGTATAAGAGCTTCGCTCGCTCCGCTCAATAAATAACTCTTACTTTTCGACAGCTGTTTTAAATGATCTAAGAAGACCGCTAGCCTCCCAGGACTCTTAAGCATGACCATAGATTAAAACACTCCCGAGGGACTTCATCTATGGTATTATATTGTTGATCATGATCAAGGGCTGAGCTAACATCGAGACTGTCAGTCAGCGCACCTATTCGTTCGTTGTTACGTTGTTTCAGAGATAAAATACTTCATCAGAGTGGTTAAAATATCTGACAGTTTTTCATATGCCAACCTAGAGAAAGGGGTGCGGTAATAACCTGCGCCTAGTAATAAATTAATGCTTCTATATAAAATCAAAGCGTTCCCATTAGCGTTGGTCACGGCAGCCTTTAACTCCAGACCGCGGCCTTCGAAGTGGTAACGCAAGGCCCCACACTAGTTGCTGGGAATGGAACCCACCCAAAAACGGGGCCTTGGGCAACGTCGTAAGTGGTGTTGTTACAGCGGTTTTGTTTGGAAGCAGCTAATGGTATTAATTTTTGCATTTACGAAAGATTGGTTACTGGACTATGAAAATATTAAATCCACTTAAAAATTCACAGATATCGTTTTTAATTCACATTGTTTAGGTTTTCAATTCTGTATGTTTTATTTTCAATATTTTAATAAATTTATGCTCATAAATTTAAATAAATAAAGTGAGAATTAATTAGCTGATATCACCTGTCTGCCATGTTATCTTATAGGACGTCTGTCACGGTTTTTTCTAGTAATCGTGTCTGTCACTAATCAACACCACTTGCGTCGATGCCAATTCTACCAGGTTAAAGGTGGTCGTGCGTTGGTGCACCATTAGAATAAAGTAAATATATATTCTATATTGTAAACTTTAATCAAAAGCACAATTAATAATTACAGGAACTTCAAGACTTCAAGCATTTTCGCAAGTCAATGACAGAAGAAGAGAAGAGGAAAAGGTCATGTCGTCTGATGTCTGTGAATGGAATGTCTGTTCTGTTTACTGTTTGCTACTTTGCTTGTTTGCATAGGCAAATTGTAATCAAAACAAACCTAACAATCTGAGATACAAGTCATAAGTTTAGTGATTATACTGTACAATTTTGATTCATTATAATAACCCAAAATAACGCGGTAAGTAATCATACGAACATAATTTTTTTATGATGATTGAAAAATCATCGTTATTTACGTAACATAGCAACACTAGGATACAAATGAAATATTTAGGCTAACCCAATAGGCAGTTTAGGTTAGGCCTAGATCATGATGGGTTAGAGGTTCCTCTGTTGCTAATTAAACTCAATTTGTGATTATGACATACTTATTAAAGGTCGATTCACACACATCAGTCCGGTCACCGTTCAGTTTAAGTTGTATCCCAATTCCTCAGTCAACTATCCACCGGTTGGTTTCAGTCAGACAGTCGTCAAGAAGGTTTTATTAAAACAGTAAAACACAATAATCTATCAATTCTTCACCATCCATCTTGATGATTGTTACAGAACAGTAAATTAACTTAGGTAGGCTAGGCCTATCCACTTAAAATAAAACACATTTATTAACTTATTTAAATAACAAAATTAGGGTATTTATTCCGTACAGGTGCCTCCAAACGAATTATTAATTTTGATATCTTACTTTATAGTTTTTTACCTCCTGAATCCAAATATACCATTAATTTTCACCGCTGATAATTATTTCTCAAGATATCCCCGTAAAAACATACCTAACATTACAATAAACAAGATAGGATGGATGACATTTACAAGTGGAATGAACTGTAGGTATTTTTAAAAAAACCTTAACCCTTAACTTGGTCTCATACTTTTCTGGGGACTGAAGTGTTTTAAAACCTCCGTACTGGTCATTCCAAAAACATTCCCTGGACTGCACCTCACGTATCGACCCGTATCGCATGTTTGCTACTTTTTCCCTGACATTTTAGGCCGAACTGAAGCATAACTCACCTGAGCGGCGAGTGGCGTTTTTGCGAAAATCGGTTTTGACTTGGAACCATGAGCGGTGCCACTTACTGCCGCTCACCGCTCAGACGTATCGTAGCCACCCTCATCAAATTTACACGCAACTAAATGAGTAAATGAGACCCGATGTCAGAGCGGCGCCACTCGCCGCTCGTATCGTACCCGGGGCCTTACAATCCATATTCCTTCTGTTTTAATATCATTAAACACATTTAAAATACAAATTGAAAACTGATCTTGTTTAGACAAAAATAATATATAAGTTACCGTATGCCTAGCCTAAATTTAATAGGCTATATATTACATATTAAGAAATGAAACTGTTCTAAACTAACTTAATATAGGGAAGTTAACCAACCAAACTTGCTGTACCATTTCAAAATTTCGTTTGATAACAGAAAAGGCATGTGGGGAATATCAAACCAAAATTTTAAATGTTACAGAATGTTTGGTTAGTTAAGTTAGGTTACGTTAGCTTAGGACAGTTTCATTTCAATATAATTTTTTTATTGTTTGTTGATACTAAACAATGTTTATTTATCGTAGTAGTCAGCTGATATGTTTCATTTTGTTAATATTGAAATATTTTGTTTGTTGCTATTGAAATATGAAATATCGATAGACTTAGGCCTATATCTAAAAAAAATCATCAATAATTAATGTACCCTTTATCAGGAAAGCATCCATGTATACTTCTGATTTACACACAGTTTTAAGTAGAAACATATGTTATAGGCAATGTTAACAGAACTGAGACCATCAAAGGATCTACTGGACTCAAACTTCTCTGGGTACAAACTATCCTTAGATCCAATACCAGTGTATCGTCAGAGTATTGTCGAAGGTAAGTTTCTTAACTAACGCTCCCCTAATCTAGTCGTTTTGCTACCTGCATACTCTTAGTCCAACGGCTTCTGAACAGCACTGGCACCCTCACATATCTGCTGCAACTCTCATCCACATTCTTACACCTCTATATCTCTCTATCTACTCATTCAAAGCCAATCTCTAAAAATTGTTCACCCTATTATGCCTAATTTGTACGGTTTCTTCTTGTTTTCAGCCTCAGATTAATTTTGAATTGATAAATACAACTTTTTTATGGTTTTTTAAAAGCTATTTAATGTACATAGTGAGTTAGTTTTTGTCCAGTAGCTTTCAGAATCTGTGCATCAGTCTAGGACAGGGTTGTCAACTTTTCCTGATCCAATAAATGGAACCCAGGGTTCACCCCCTCACTCCAGAAAATTTTTGAACTTGAATTTTGAAAATTTTAGTGAGTTTTTAAGGTAATCTAGGTTTAAGTTGTGATGCCATACCTTTAGTTTTTAACAAAAATATCTAGTTTTTCTATTAACGCTTGATTAATAAAAACGCCAGGATAAAACCCAGGCACTGGTCTGCAGTCTGGCGAGAAATGCCCCACGTTATGAGCCAGTAAAGCTCCTTGGATTCCATCTGGATAGGAAGTTGGCGTGGAACAATCACATCAGCAAAGTTAGTAGCAAACTTTTTAGGGTATGTTGCCCGCTGCTCAAGCTACAAAATTTCATCACTCAGCCATACCTGCTGAACATCTACCGTGCTATGTTCCACTGCCATGTGAGCTACGGCCTACTGCTATGGGGTCATGCTGCGGATGTTGAGGACATTTTAGTGCTGTAAAAACATGCTGTAAGACTCATTACTTTTAGTGACCGCAAGAGTAAAAAAATAAAAGCTAGTGAAATTGAAAGAGTGCGGAACTCAGCCACTTTCCATGTTATGATCCATTCAAAAATAGATAATAGGATATGTTAGTCAACCAGAAAAAACTATATTCCTTTGTTTATTAATTTACTCCTACCTAAATGTGCTGCACAATTCACTTAGTTGTTGGAAATGCCTTCCTTTGTAGGTGTAGACCATGTTGGCCAGAGTGAAGATCAGTATTCATTCATCCACACAAAGTTGTTCTCTCTCCACAACCATTTGTACTGCGACCCCTGGCGTGACAACACGGTTGTCTTCATTGATAACAAGTGGCAAGTCATCAGGGCTTCTGTCCTTCCTGAGGTTATTATTTATTTATTTAGTTAGTTAAATTAATAAAATCAGTTTTCAGGGACACTACTGACTCAAACTAATTACTGTGTTTTCAAAATAAAATTTTTTTTACAATATAAATTGTAATACGAGGGTTGTTTTTGTGTATAGCTCCGTAGTTTGTGAGAACGCCGTAACGAGGCTCCTCGCTGCTTACTGGCATTATTTGTGAACAGAGTGACGCCTTTTGCCTCTCTGAAACTGAAGTGCACACTTCGCTGTGTGTTTATTTAATAAATATTTTTTTTAACTATGAATCTTTTACTGTGTGAGAGATAAGGTCTATGATACATTTTTGACGGTAAGCTACATATCTGATTCTAACAATCATTACAAGATGACAGAAGTTTAAAGACCCTAATGCAATGATGACGGGAAAATGCAGAAATAGGCTAGGGAGTTTAAAAATTTCCATAAAAATGCTTATTTCTGAAGGAATTGTGGTTTTGGTGGATACCCAGACTTCTCACAGAAGACTAGAGTAAAAAAGGTTTTCACAGCCATTTTTAGAATCCGTAACTCATTTCCATACTTTACCCTCACTGGATGATGAATGTCACCATCAGATATTTTTCTTTTGGTCAAAAACGCATCACTGACCTTATCTAGCATGCGGTGGGGATTCAATATTTCAAAAACACACAGCAAAGCTTACACATCAGCTACAGTGCTGAAAATGGTTTCATTCTGGTCACAAATGAGTCTAGTAAGTGACAAGGAGTCTTGTTGCAGCGTACAAGCTAACTACGGATTTATATGTAAAAATTTGTACTTTAAAAAACCGCCCTCGTATTTGTTTAATGAAAGAATACGGATATAATAAAAAAAACAGCAGTTCATTCAAAAATCATTGTTGTGTGAACTTTTATTTCTTTAGCCACTTAGCTTTCCTTTCTAAAATAAATACTGCTTATATTTTGTAAGCCTATCATTGTTGCTATTTACATTTGTAGACAGGTAGAGTGGACGGGCTACAGACGGTGTGGAAGCTACCGCACCAGAACCAACGTAGAGTTGGCCACTTTAACACCAGCGTGCTGTTCCCCAGCAGAGACATTGCGTTGGTAGCCGATGGTTGCGGCCGTCTGCACATCCTCGACTGTGCCAATGACACTTGGCAGGTAAATGCGAACAATTATTTGTAATTTAAATTTACTTAACCTAGTTAGTTGCTGATAAAGGTTTGTTATTAAGGGAGTTTGCTGTTGGTTAAATGCTTAGGAGGGAATCACTTTTTGCTTTGTCTCACCAAAGATGTTTCCGCTTTCACGCTTGTATATTTCTTCTTCCAAGTTCTCGGTCTCTTTCTTCTCTTTGTCCATAGTTTATTAGTTTAATAAATAACAACACAAGACTTAAAACTCTAGTTCTCAGTAGTTACAGATTTTGATAGCTGTGTTCCTTATTTATTATTTACTAATGCAGTTTTACCCATATCATGTGTGGTTTGGTAACATATATGTTCATTTGTTTACTGATTTAAATGATTTAAATTTATGTGTGAATGAAAGGATGACTATTGTACTATGAGGAATATTTAGAATGGAGTTAAGCTAGGTTGTCTGAGAAATTTTTGTTTTGGGGCCAAAAAAAGTCACAAAAGAAGGGCTCCAGTTTTAAACTTCAGCTGACATTTCTCTTCAATCTACTCTCAAAAGAAGTCAGACTTTAGGACTATTATCAGTCCTATTAGGTTTAGGTAATCTAGTTAAACTGTATCCCTTTACAGTAGGTTCCCAATCAGTGAACTGGATTTCCTCTAAAATATACACTGTAGTAGTAAGGATGTAACATAGAGCTCAAGGACCTAAGTTTTAAGGTTTTTTTTAAGGATAGCAGGATTTCCTGAATAGAAAAGAGTCTCCTCTAGCACAACAAACACAAAACTTTACATGTAATAGTTATTTGTGCAACTAGTGAGCAAAGTGAGCAATTGCCTCGAGGAATGGTTTCTCGAGTGAGGCAATTGCACTTTGCACTCGAGTTGCACATTATATTTTTCCTACAGTTACCATAAAACAAATAAATTGGTAAAGAAACGTAACATATTTTACACAGAAGTGAACTTTTAATATGACATTTAATGTGAAAGTAGCATTAATAAATCAGAAACAAAATTATAAAACAAAAAATAATCTCCTTAAAAATGAAAACAACACCCTTCTGGAATACAAGATTCTTCTGGTGAACTATTATTACTAAAATCGTCATTAACGTCCATTTTGCGATAGCAAAACCACCTTCAATGTTTACAAATGGAAAATCAATGAAATGGTGGCTTCTGCCGTGACTGGTCAACAGTACTACAGCTGACCAGCTGATTTACAGCCAGTGCTGCCAACGTATTTCGCGCGCATACGACCTTGTCTGCATGTTACACGCTCACTATTTCCTGCCTTCACGTTGCAAATCTGGAGTGAGACAAAGTAATTAGAGTGAGACAATGTTAACATTGTCTCACTGATGAGCGAATTGGCCACTTTGCTTTCTCAAATCAGTGAGAGAACATGAATGAATGAATGAATGAATGAATGAATGAATGAATGAATGAATCCTTTTTATTTCATTACAGAACATCATTTACAATGGTACAAACAACAATTACTGAAATGTAATCCCCAAATGGGCTAATGCCTGTGGTTGGGGATTGAGTCCATCATCCGCACAATAAAACAATAAATTTAGGCTACTTTTAAAAATGGAAAGTAATATACATTGTACACAGAATTTTGTTTACAAGAAAAGATAAATAATAAAAAACTAGTTTCTGAGGTAAATATATACAAAACGATACAGTGTGAAACATGAATGCACGCATATATTACGCGTTCAGTTTGCGCGTTAAATATAGGAAATGCCTTTTATATATATAGATTTATGGATTTATATATATGGATTTACATTATGGATTTATATATATAGACTTTTATATATATAGGCACAACATGTACATTGTTAGGTAACTGTAGGAAAAAGTAATTTTTTAACTAGTCACTAACAGCATTTTCAGCCAAGGAAGACTTGGCAAGGAAGGTTCAGCCTGTCGTTGGTGTGTTAGAGTTGACTCTTTAGTCTGTCTTTACCATTCAGGTAAGCCTGATATCCTCACAACAATTCCTCACTCTAGTACTGTAGTTAGTTAGTCTAAGGCAGTATATATAGTTAATTGCCAATCTGGCTGTACCAGTGTGAGCACAGCCTAGAAGTGACAGCAGACTGTGGAAATGTGCTGATGACAGCTGCAGTTACTGCTGAAGCTGCACTGCACTGTGTGCTGCTGTCTCTGGAGGCTATAACGACAGATCCTGTATCATCTGCTGACCCCAACAAACCCCGACCTGCCTCTGTCAAATCAGTTCTCCATTGGCTGACTCTTAAAAAAGGTTGGTAATAATCACTTGTTTTTGTCTGGGTATTTGAGAGGAACAAATGGAGAACTGCCTGTATGATAAAGACTAACTTTATTAATTTAACCCTTGAGGTAAAATTTTTTTCAATTTTTCGGCGAGTATAGTTTGCTATTCAAGCAGTCGGGAAAATTATGCCCGGCGACCTATACTCGCCATTCAACCGCAAAGTTAAACTTTTTGGATTTTTTTTATAGGTTGCCATTTTTGAGCAGTCGAGAAAATCCCTATACTCGCCCTTCGACCGCAAAGGGTTAACTGTATCTCGTTTCATATTTGACAGTAAAATTGTACACCTTGATACACTTTTATAGAGAAGGACTTTTTAGTTGTCTTTGACAGAGGTCTTATAAAGTTTAAATGCCTTATTTGTTATCAGGGAAAGACATTTTTTAGGTGTAGGTTTTTGAGATAAAAATGTAAGACGTGATTCAACTCTAAACCTCTACTAGAACTTATAGGCGTCGCCAACTTTAACTGTATGTGACCAGCAACACTAACTTTGCCTTCTGTAGTTGACGGTGGAACATGGAGTGTTGAGTGTACTAGACAGTTGGAAGGTGCAGGAGCTGTTGACTACGTGGCACTTGAACCTACAGGTGCTGCTCTCTATGTGGCCAGTAACACCACCTTTGCCTTTTCATTTGACTCTGCTAATCCTCTTCCACCATCTGCAGGTACAATTATTACTTTTTTAATAATTAACATTAGACACATCTTATATATTTAAAAAATTTGGTTTTTCCTTTCCGAGTTCAATTGGCTCTTCTACCCGACCGATTTTCATGATTGAGGTCTCAAATTGAAGGTATGCACGCACAGATTTGCCATCAAGCATCGGCATATATTTATCTATAATCCCAATCGGCTTATACGTAAAAGAAATTTGCTCCCCATGTATTTCTTATGGGAGTTAAATTTGGTTTATCTTTGCCGAGTTCGATTGGCTCTTCTACCCGACCGATTTTCATTGTTGAGGTCTCAAATTGAAGGTATGCACGCACAGATTTGCCATCAAGCATCGGCATATATTTACCTACTGTATTTTTCGACCAAAAAACACAATTTGATTCATTTTCGGATTCTATCTTCAATTTAAGATGTATTTCACCAGTTATATAATTATATAATCCTATATATTTTGGTCTAAGAACCTCCAGAGAAATACCGGCTTTCATTTAAGCTATTAGTTTTTCAAATCGGTGAGTTTCAAGCAAACGCAAGGTGAACAACAAACATTAATTTTTTATATGGTATTTCTATGATTAACAATCAATAGCTCCAGTATTGTTTAGGTTTTTTATACGTTTTAGACTCAAAATAATCAGTAAATTATAGGCTTTAACTTTAGCTATTGATCGTTTGAATCAGTTAAGCTCAAGATACTGTTTTACTCAATCAAAAATCATGAACTTGGTTATATCTCGGATATTATATTCATTTTATCGCTGCGGAGCAGCATGGGTCCTCTAGTTTATATTTGAATTAATTATGAGGGTTGTTTATAATTTAAGGCCTTCAGTTTCGCAATTGAGAATATTAGCTCAAATCTGTCCCCAGCGTCGTTCTTTTTACTTCACCTTCATCTGTTTTGTACCCCTATGTGGTGATTATTCTCATTGTAACACTTGAAATTCATGCAAAGGTAATACAACGCCTCCACCAAATACACAAATCACATTGGGTGACTAGTTTCTGAGGGAAAGGGAAACCCTATTGACATCAGTTTCCAGTTGTAGGATTTGTATGCAGAAACGTTTGTAAGAGTACTAAATGAGCAAAAGCAGCTTAGGTAGTGCGGAGGAGGCTGTACACATTTGCACTATAGTCCATCAGCTGGTTTTGCCCGAAACAGTCATTCAAGTTGAGGAAACTTTGCTTGCTGATCAACGAGTTAAAAACTGCTAGGGTTTATGCATGTTCCTAATAGTCTCCTATCAGTTAATTGATCCCTGGTCTATTCACGCTGCAATCCATGTGCAAAACTTCTGTAACTTTGGTCACTACCTCAAGTCCAATTGAAAGAACACTGTAACCGACCTACATTGTGAAATCATTGCTGAAATGTTTATGATTCCCCCTGTTCTCCTCTCCATAAGGACATTTTTCATTTATGTCTTATCATGGACTTCAAAGCAGTTGATTACTTAGACCACAGAAATCTAATGACAGAACGCAATTCATACTTTGGCGAATGTAGATTTTCCTCACGTTGTCCTTGGCTACTGTGACGAGACTAATTGTTGTTTAGGAGTGGATTTTGTCTAGAATATTACTAGATGAAGTGCAGAACAGACGCTGGTTTTGGATTTGATATAGGCTCAGTCCCGACAGGAGCTTGATGAAGACCTTAATTTAAGGACAACTCTCATATAAAAGAGCTCAACTGTTAGTCGTCCTTGTTGTTTCTTTGTTGCTGTTGTTGTAATCTTTGTGCCTTTAGTGTTTACCTGTACCTGCAGAATCTATTGAAGAAATTTGATTGTTTGTAGAGAAAACAAACAACGATGAACTGAATCCTCCAGCCTACACTTGGCAGCAGAGTGAAGATGACATTAAGGTCGTAGTTGAGGTAAGTTGTAAAAATTCTTCATAACGTAATTAGGTTCATGTTGTTTGATAGACTTTGGATCTCAAATTAAAACTTTCAATTTATTTCATGTGTCCTTTAATTCTTCCACTCTCGTATTAGGGCCTCACCCCATGCCCTACGTTTAATCTATTATGAAGGTCATTAAGCCTACCAGTATTTTAACTTTAAATTACACTAATAATGAAAAATTAAAAAAAAAATTTCTGAAAGCCGTCAACATTTTATACGATCACGAAACGGCCAATGTCGGCCCAATGAGTAAAAAACATAGCATTTGAATAAAATGTTTCTGTGCACTATAGTTGTCTTAATGTGTTTGTGGCAGGTGGCTGATGGTGTGACCAGAGATCAGATTGATGTCAAGGTAGAGGCCAAGCTACTGATGATCTGCTGTGGGACGACTACAATAGTAGAGGGACCTTTGCTGTATACTGTGGACCACAAACTAACCACTTGGAGTCTACAAGACAACAGGTAACATCCAAATTGGATTTTATTTAGCTTTTGTTAAATCATTGTTTATGTATATTTATAAATTTTCGAGATATATCTGTTAATAATGTCTCTATCAAGTTCCCATTGCAACGAAGCAGCTGGTTACAATTTGAGATGAACTTTGAGTTCATTACTTCATCCACTTAGTCTAGCAGGTCCCATTCCTTTGTGACAATTATTATTGCCACAGTAACCAAATATGACGTGAGGGAAAATCTATGATGCCAATAAGAATCACGTTCTTTGAATATATTATAAGTGAAAAGGTTCAACACCTATTGAAATACTTTGCTGGTTACTGTACAGATGTGTATGCAGAATGGTGTTAAATCTAAATGTAAATATGTGCATAATGGCTTAGAGAGCTCAATGGAGACCTTAATTTACAGACACCTCTCATACTATTAATAGGCTTCCCTAGTTTCAAACATGGTAAAACATTATTCTGTTATAGGCCTAGTAGAGTCTCAATTTTCCATGCTTCAGTCATTTCTTTCCGACCCACTGTCCCTGTGGACAATCATCCTCATTATGAAAGAACTATTTACCTGTGACATAAAATGTACAACTTTTGGTAGTTTTGAGTTTAATAAAGGGACGAACATGAAGTTTTTGTACAGGGACAGGATGGGACTTTTATTTTATCCTGATTTTCCAAACAGAAACGGTGCAGGATTTTTCTTCCTTTGTAACAAGAGACACTTAAGTTTGTTTTTTAAATCTCTAGTAAAAGACTTTACCGCATTTGTTAAGTTGAACTGTTATGTCTCACAATGTGATATAGACCTGAGTTCCATCAGTTTCAGTCACCAGATCAGTCAGGAAATCACTAGGCATCTCTGTCTCTTTGGTCGGTCTTGAAACAAAAAAGGATTAAGTGAACAAAACTGAGTATGCGAACAGGTCTTTTTGGTCATCCAAGTATGGACTTGGATGACCCTTTCAAATCACACGGATCCTGACCGAATGACCCACCTCTAATATGGATCCATTTGTTTGTAATGTTGTAGACTGGAGGTGACTCTAACCAAGCAGGAGGTAGGACTGATGTGGTCAGAGCTTGTACCATCAGACACTACAGGAAGACAAGTGATAGACCCAGCTGTAGTGGAGGAGGTCCACTCTAGACTGAGCCACCTCTGCAGCGACACGCAGGTTTGTAGCGGTTTTATTTCTCATTGACGTATAATTTCTCGTTGACAGAGGTAAATAACACAGAATTTGTTGCTACAGAATAAATATTGTGGATTCCCAATATTTTCTGTTTGAGTTGGGCCAACAGTTGTCCCAAGAGATTGATTTGCCTAAAATAGTTTTTAATTGGATAAAGCCAAGCCGAATATATATTTTTTCTTGATTGCATAAAGTGTGTTTGAAGTAACGCAATTGGAAATTGACCATTGTGCCGCAATCTCAGCTGATATTTATGGGTTTATCCCAATCATGCGAGACAATGATGATGTCAAACCACGGAGCACTTAATACCCTTAGCAATATCGGAGTGCCCCTGAATGTAAACTACCTAAGTTCAAAGCCACTCCCATATTGTTAATGGTAGGAAGATGTTCATCATTTTGCCATAATTGCAGGAAACGGTCACATTTCTCTGTAACCGTGGAAGATGTTCACGATTTTGCCATGATCATAGAAAATATTCTTGATTTTGCCATGATTGCAGAAGATATTCATGATTTCATTACCATCCTATGTACAATAATGTATTTCAAACCTATTGTAACCTGTTTGGCAGGTGAAGGAGTCAGGAGAGGGGGTCGCTCCCACCTTTAACCTGGATCAGCTGGAGGAGTGTGATTCAGCCCCAGAGGACAGCAGAAGTCTGGTCAGACTGGAGCCTGAGACACATTCTGTCTCTCATTACGTGAGTTATCCATAACCATTATCATGTAAGTATGTAAACAACAAAAACAAAAACCTTTCACCTGTGTTGGAATGCTGAAAAGTATACTATAATGTTTTGGCAGCTGTTCTTATCCAGCACACCCGCAGGAATATTTGTTGTCTTTCTAAAAGGTGGAATATACTTTCAAAAACATTTACAATACTTATTGGTTTCTACAATCTTTGTAAAGATTTTGAATTGTTCAAAAGTCTACTAACTTTAAACTACGGTAAAACGAGAATTAAGAAACTTTTAGTTAGTTAGGGGGCAAACATATTCTCCACTAAAATGAATGTAATTCTAATACAAACCCATAGGCCTACGTTGTCACTTACCCATTACAAAATGCATTCATTAATTTGTTTACTATGTCTTCTTTAAGTAGACTTTGGTTCGATATAACTGGGTAGGTGAGTGAATATAGATAGAACTTACCTTAAGGAGGTTGCCGGTTCGATCCTTGGAAAATTCAAATTATGTTTAATGGTTTGAAACTAAATTCCAGGCTGTCCTTGTTCATTGGGATTTTCTCAAATGATCCTGGTTTGAGAACTAGCTGATCTTAGTCAGTAACAAACAAAGCAAAGTTCTATCGTCTTTACCTTAAAATAGGCACGCTGGAGTTTCGTTCGCCGTGTAAATGTAATGTAATCTAATCCAATGATTTAGCTCCTGTTTAATCCTCGTGTCTGTTCAGATCTCCCTGGCTGGTCACCAGTGGCTTACAGCTGTGTTGGAGACTGCGGACTATCCTGCGTGTGTCTGTGTGCGTCATGACGTTGACGGCTGCGTGTGGAGACTAGACCCTCCCTCCTCTACCTCAGCAGAGTGGCCGTGCAAACATGTCGGCACCTTTGCAGCTCTGGGCTATGTGGCGGCCTCCAAGACACAGCGGAAGTTCCTAGTTGCTGCACAAGGTGGGTCTTGACTACTAGATAGGCTATATAGGCTATATAGGCCTAGGCCTAGAACCTAATAAGACCACTTCAAAAAAAAGCGATGGTTTTGAAGTATTCGTGTCGAAGAAGAAAAGAAACGTCAATAGTAGAGAAGAACAACGTAGCAGCAGTAAAGTCGAAAGTATCAATAGGCCTAAGCCCATTTTTGGTACTAAAACCAGTGGTTCCCCTAAATTAAAGGCTGTGAGCAAGCGTTCTTGGGTGTTCGTTTCTAGGTTGGATGCTAGTGTGACAAAAGACAGTATTGAGTGTTACTTATCAGAGAACAGTATCAAGGACCATGTTTGTACCGAATTAAATACAAGATATGACACTTACAAATCCTTTAAAGTTGGAGTTAATGACTCTGAGCTTGAAACTGTCCTAGATCCAAATTTTTGTGAAGCAGGAGTTTTAGTGAAAGAGTACATGCCAAGAAGACACTCAGCGAGAAACGCCTACAATACTAGGAACTTCGTGCCACGGAACTTGTCTGCAAATAAGGAGCCTTTAAACTTGAATGCTTATCATCAAGACTCGGGACCGTAGAACGAGAAAAGTGTGAATCGTTTCAGAGTATTTTTAGTAGGCCTACATCTAACAGCTACGTAGCTAATACAAGTGGACAAATAGTAAAAGCTTTGTTCCTAAATGTTGAAGGTATTTCTGGTAAATCAAACTTTCTTAGCCTTATGACGAAACAACATGATTTAAGTATAATGTGTTTCAGTGAGCACTGGAAGAAGGATGACGCCATACAGTACGAGGTGATTGATGGATTTTTGCTGGCTGCAAGTTATTGTAGGAAAGAACATGTCAAAGGTGGTGTAGCTGTGTATCTCAGGGATAACCTATCTTACGAAGAAATAAATTTAAATTGGCTCTGTGAAGAATTGACATTTGAAGTAGCGGTGGTCAAACTTTTAAGTTTAAAGATAATAGTGGTTAGCCTATATCGATCGCCTCAAGGAGACCCTAACCTCTTTTTGGATAAACTAGAAGTACTTTTAAACTGTCTATTGAATTTTAAGTGTGAAGTTTACATTGGCGGTGACTATAATGCACATTTTGACGTCACAACAGAACGCCCTACTGTTATTAAATTTAAAAATCTGTTAAAGGAATTTGTAATGACATATATTAACACTCTTCCAACTCGAGAAGATGCGTGTCTAGACAATGTCATAACAACCCACCGAACTCAAGATTACAATATGGATGTAGTAAATTGTTTTTTCTCTGACCATTCGGGTATTACTGTGACCCTAAACGTGGAACGACGTGCAGATACGCCCAACTCCAAAGTTTCCTATGGAAGAAATTTATCTAAAAAAAGACTCGATGTTTTGAGACAACACTTGTTTATGGTTGATTGGATGCAAATTCTACATGGAGAGAAAGAAGCTGAGTCCGCTTTTAATAAGTTTTTAAGGTTTTTTATGGTATTTTTGATGAAGTGTGTCCTCGTAAACCTTTGAGAAAACCTACTATTAACCGAAACGTGCCTAAATTGAACTGGTATACACCTCAGCTGGAACATCTAAAAAATACCATGATGGCCTTCAGAACTATGTTCCTTGTTCAGCGAAGCAACTTAACCGAACTGGCATATAAGAAAAGCAAGCAAGTTTACAAGGAGGCGGTTAATAAAGCTAAACTTAACTAGTGGCTTGTAGGGGCAATAGCCCCTTAATATATATTCTAGCAATTATTTTGTACAAATTATTAGTCTCATGGGTTACCCTACCTTGTTTATCGTTTAACATTTTTTTATATTATAATTTGTATAATAGTTATTACGTACCTGCATAATGCATTTTGATGTCTGCTCTGTTAAAAATAAAAATTCCAAAGGACTTTCCATGCTTTGTGTTAATAATATAAACTTTCTAATCATAACACAACTAAGGAACGTTTTCAATGGGGTAATCTTCATGACTATGAATTAAATGTATATAAATTACTTTGCATGTAGACAAATTCACTTAGATAAAACACATGGGGATAATTTTTTTAAATAAATGCAAATTTTTGTGAAAATGTAATCCTTGTAAACTTAAACGGCATATTAGGATCTGTAGATATTAGTTTTATTTTTGGTATAACAAATATGTTCCCTTTGCCTACCCCAGTAATTACTACCTAATAACTTTACACTTTTTTCAGACATACCTAACACAACAAATCGTACTCCATTAACATTAACTAATCCAGACCCTAGGTTCATATTTATTATGAGCATCACTATTGAACCAACTTTTAAAACTAATTTGTATGGTGGCATTCCAGATGGTGTAATTGAATTTGTATAGTCAATTGGCATGTTCAACCTCTCTGTAGGGTTAGCGTCTCGGAATGGTGATCAAAGGGTATCCGGTTCGAATCTCGCCGGCAAGACTAACTTTTTGTCCAAGATTATGCTTATTTTTTTTACTTTTAACTTTATTTTTTAAGAACTATTTTTTTTAAATTAGTAAACTATCATTCGATTTTCATTTTATATATTTTTTATATTATCAGCAAGTTTGGTTGGTTCGGTTAGGTTATGACAGTTTAATTTTATAATAAAAAGTTTTAAAATTAATTGTATGATTAAAAATTTTAAGTAAACCTTCGTTCGGTTTTTATCTTAGGCCTATATCTTTTTTTATATTATCAGCAAGTTTGGTTGGTTAGGTTAGGTTATGACAGTTTAATTTTATAATTAAAAAATGTAAGTTAAAATTAATTTTTTTATTAAAAATTTAAAAATTATTTTATAATTAAAAACTTAATTTTCTAACTCAAAAAATTATAAAATAAATTTAAATATTTTCTTAAATTGACGTGAGGGGCTCTCCCACAATCCCCCACTCCTTCGCAGAAAAGGTTCTCTCCAGTTTCTGGAAGAGGAAAATGAGAAGCTAGTTTTTACCATATGCTTTAAATAAAGTTAAACCACATGTTTTAAAGTAAACAAAGCAGACATGACCTAGATTCCCATGTTATTTAAATGTGAGTTATTTTATTCCGTAACAACCTTTTGGTGCATAATTAGGAAAAATGAATAATTTTCCCCAAAATTTCATGCCCAGACCATTAAAATGAGACCTCTCCCAGCTTTCTAAGGCCTCCCGTTTGCTCACAATTTCATTGTAAAATTTTGGGCTTAGGGAATTAGATATATTAGATTACAATGTTGAATACATAGAATCGTCTGACAACAAGTCAAAGGCTGCTTGGACACTTGTAAATAATCTACGGAGCAAGAGCGTCAAGTCCCAGAGATCCAGATTCCCCCAGAGGAGTTTAACTCGTACTACCTTTCAGCTGTTCAGGAGGCCAGAGACAGCATCATTCAACCCCAGACTACGGCGCTTGACTTCATGGAAAATTCACCTTTGCCTGAAGAAAACTTCAAATGGGAGGAAGTGTCATGTGCAAATGTGCTCTGTGTCGTGAAAAAAATGAAAAAATCTAAAAGTAAAGATATCTTTGATCTTTCTAATCATCTAGTCAAATGTGTAATCGAGTCCATTTTGCTTCCTCTAACCTTTTGTATTAATTTGTGTCTTAAACAGGGTATTTTTCCCTCTAAGCTTAAAATATCAAGAGTGGCCCCCCTGTATAAAAAAAGTGGTGAAAAATCTGTGCCAAAGAGTTACCGACCGATTTCTATAGTACCAGTTTTAGGCAAGGTTGTTGAACAAGTTGTAAAACTCCAGGTATGTACTTACTTTAATCAGCTGAGCCTAATTAGTGCTTCACAATTTGGCTATCAGATGGGTAAGAGCACTACGAGTGCAGTTCTATCAATTGTTGATGATTTAATCAGTTGTTTTGAGGATCGAAGCCTTGCTCAGATCACTGCCTGCGACCTGAGCAAGGCATTTGATTGTGTCGACCATTTAATTCTTTGTCAAAAGCTACAGTGTCTGGGTTTTCATGGCGTTCAGCTTGATTTCTTTAAGTCGTACCTGGAAGGGAGATTCCAAATTATAGATGTTGCTGGTAAAAAGTCATCTGCTTCTCATGTCAAATTTGGTGTACCACAAGGTTCTGTGTTAGGGCCTATTTTATTCCTTGTCATGGTAAATGATCTGCCGTCTACTATTAAGTCATCGAAAACCATCATGTTTGCTGACGACACATCTTTCCTTACAGTAAGTAAAGATTTGCCAACTGTGAATGGTATTGCTGATGAAACTCTTAATCAGGCTGTTACATGGTTCAGAGCTAATGGTTTTAAACTTAATGAATCAAAAACACAAAAGGCAATATACTCCTTAAATAGTAGACTTGCTTATTCAGATGAATTTGTTAAGTGCATTAAGTTACTAGGGGTGCAAATGGATTGTAACTTAACTTGGAATAGCCAAATAGATTTAGTTTGCAGTAAATTGTCAAAAGTTGTATATTTGTTAAAAACTTTAAAATTTTACGTTCCTGTTACTTATTTATTGTCTGTTTATTATGCTTTGTTTCATTCTTTGTTAAACTATGGTATTATTTTATGGGGAAACTCTGGCAGGATAACTGATGTTTTGTTGTTGCAAAAGAAAGCTATTAGGATAGTAACAAACTCAAAGAAAAAAGCTCACTGTAAACCTCTTTTTACTGAAACTGGTGTTATGACTGTTATCTGTTTGTACATTTTTAGGTTATTGTTATTTATAAAATCAAATGAATCAAGTCTTGTTTTTAATAATGACATCCATTCCTATAACACTAGAAGTAGTAGAAATGTTCATATTGATCAAGCTAGGTTAGCTAAAACTTTAAGAAGCCATTCATGTGTAGGTGTTAGACTTTTTAACCATTTGCCTTTAGATATAAGATGTTTGCCTTTTCCTAGTTTTAAAAAAGCTATTCACCTTTTGCTAGTCAACAATCCTTCCTACTGTATTAAGGAGTATTATGAAAGATGTTTGAATCTGTGATACTGTTAATTGTTTTTGTAGGTAGCTGTGTTATTGTTATTCATATAGGCTAAATCTGTGATATTTAATTTTATTATTTTAATAATTGTACTTGACAAGGTCGTATGCACTGTAATATTTTGTGCTCTTAGACCAATAAATCTCTTGACTCTTGACTCTTGACTAGACATTACCGTTCCCATGTTAATTTTGTAGCCGTATATGAATTTCTTACTTTTTAAAAATAAACATATCTTACGTTTTTACACTTTTGTATTCGTGGTCTATGGAATATATGGAGGCTATTAAAGCTTATCCCTTTGGATATCAAAATAGATGATAGTACTCGTCTAAAATAATTGGGTAACAGTGATTAAATCATTCGCCTTCAACACCTTCAAATTCAAAGCAACCCCAAGCACTACTTCAATTTCAAGAAGAATTGATAGTTGTCATCTGTCATTAGGCTATTAATAAATTATACTCTCTAACAACTTGACTTTAGATAGTAATAAGATTAGAGTTCAGAACTTTCCACCTGAAAAATGTTTTTAAAAATTCCTCAGGTGTCGGAACAAAACAAAAATACTAAGGGTGAACTAGCCTGTTTCCCAATGGGCAATGTATTTATAGCGTTGCATGTGTAATTAAAATTATCAGAAGTTTATGTTTTTAAAGTTTGTTTTTTATTCCAGACCTGTCGTATGCCGTGATCTGTGAAGCAGCCAGCCGCGTCTATGTTTACCGCAAAGCTACCAAGGTCAACGGTGAGCTGAGGAATCGCAAGACTTCGGCTAGGTTTGAAACTGTTGCTAAACAACAACTTATCAATTTAGAAACTGATTCCCCAGTTCTGGGAGTGTATGCTTCACCTACATACTTGTTCATTCTTACAAATGATACACTTTATACTTTTCACATTCAATAAACCTACTTATCAAATTTGTATTTGTTGGTGCAGTGATTTAACCTTATTAATAATCAAAAACTTCCAATTGACCATCAAATAAAGCTGAGGAGGATCTTTTCTTGGCTCTATTACATTTTATAGGGTTCTTAATGAATGTGGGTTTCTGAAAATTTGTTGACTAGAATGTATTAAGTTAAGACCAGGCTGTGAACAGTTTCTGTTTTTAGATGAGAAGGCTTACCCTCCAAATAATCCTAAAATCCTTGGCCCTTGTGCTCTATGTTACATTCTCAACATCAAAATAAAAATACACCATTAAAATGTGTTTGTAGTTAGGTGTAGTTTATTTGTACTGTATGACAAAAGATAAAAATTGAAATAAAACACAAGAAAGGTGTCTCTAAGTAATGAAACTTACAAAATAAATACAATATATTTAAAAAAAATTAAGAGTTAGCCTAGTAAGTTTAGCAAACACATTGATATAAATGTATATGATTTATAAAAGGACGAAGGGTTTTTGTAAAACAAACACAACCACATATTTTTGTTGTCTTTTATTTTCCAAATATTTGAAGAATGTTTGGCTGTTGAGCGGAGGATGTCTGTTGAAGATGTTTTACTGTTGGTCCCAGATGTGTTTGTAAGTAGTCGAGCATAGCGGAACACTTGTGAGCTGTGTTGACGTCTTTGGTGGCACCCCACACTATCACTCCGTCCGCCCCTAGTTGACGGGGGAGGGCGACTGAGTTGTACAGGTCCTCCTGAGCAAACATACACCGTGGTACAATCTTTGACCATTGAGGTACTGTAGTTGAATTGAGCCAACGACAGAGTGTAATGATGTAAATTATTTATTTCTGTTAAATACGCTAACTTTTTAACCAAGCCAAACTGTAAGGGCAACATATTGTAAGCTCGCCTTTATGTCATCAACTATAAAAGAGGAATTGTAATTTAAGACTGTTGTACACTCTGAATGGCTCATTCAACTGTGACCTTGAATAAAAAATTATAACAGATGGGATGTCTACATCAGTATTCAAAAGGGGGGAGAAATGATAGGATAAGCATGCTTACCTTAAGGAATGTATGTAGGCATCCCACTTCACTACAGTAACACAGAAGAAAACACAAAATAAACAATGGATATTTCAAGGCCACTGGCCCCTTTCTCAATGTGGAGAGTCACGTTCGATATTTGGAGTCTTGCATTTGAGTGAAAGACTCCAAATATCTAATGTGACTCTCCATGTTGAGAAAGGGGCCAGTGGCCTCGAAATATCCAGTGTTTATTTTGTGTTTTCTTCTGTGTTACTGTAGTGAAGCGGGATGCCTACATTTCTTAAGGTAAGCCTGCTTATCCTATCATTTCCCCTATTCTCAGGCAATAAGCCCTTTCTCTCCAAACCTAACCTCAGTATTCAAAAGAATTTGAAACAGTTTTGTTCTTTTATCTTGGACTCTGTCACTGGTCAGTGGTCAATAACCCTTATAACTTGAAAATAAGAGTTGCCATTGGTTGGCTTGCCAAAAAATTCATAGGAGGTAGTGGTTTTTGGTTTGGTTCAAAACAGGAACCAGCTCACGGGGCTTTTAATAAGTAGTCTCCCAACATTCTATATTCATCCACTTATATTCTGAGTAAAATATACACACAGTGCTTTATTTATAGAAACTTTTGTTTCTTATCTCTCTCAGGAGCTGTGGCCACTCCAATCTCTCTTAACAATGTTGTGCTATTTGTTTGAAACTTAAAGCTTACTCTTGAAAATTGTTTCAAACCTTAAAAACCTGTATCTGGTGAAAGGTTCGAGGACGTCATTCCAATAATTCCTTTAATTAAGACCCTGGGTACACACTAAAAAATCAACTTTTACAAATACATTTTTTTATGTACACCATCTAAGAATCTTACCTTTGAAATGAACCTATTGGCGTCCTGATATTTTGACCAGATGTAGACATAGACCGGGTTTTTCTTTGGTGATACTTTGGACATCCTGATAGCTTCATTGACCCTGCTAGTGATATAATGGTAGTTGGAGTTTTCTGACATATCATCGGTTCGGAGATAAGTTGAAGGGTAAAGAGCAGAGCTTTCCTCAAACAACCAATGTATCCTGCAATGAAAAAGATTACATTATTTGTTGAACAATATTTATTTTACTTAAACATCATAACTCGATATACTCTGTATTACAATTTAGTACCGAATTATTACGATTATAAGTTACAACCCTTTCGTCAATAGTTCAACATAGTAGTGGTTAGAATCACAACGTGTTTCGCCCATTCAGGCATTTTCAAGTGATATCATTTCTAAGACTGTTCTTGAAGTTTTCATGTTATATCCCTCGTATATTTAACTAATATGTTGAACTGTTGACGTGAAGATATGTACCTTATAATAGACTAATCTTAACAGTTCAGAGGCTTCATAATAAAATTAAACGCAATTTTAGTTCGGATACACATAATTGAGTACTGATCAAGATAATAGTAAATTTGTAATATTTTATGAGCCTCAATAATAATAGCTATTCTTGTAGCAGCACTAACGATTTTTTAAATTATAAATTTAGGGCATACTGTTGCAAAGTATGTATACAAAATAATACTAAAATATTAAACATGTAATCAAATGACATCAGTATAGCTGTACCTGTTGTTCTCTGGAATGACCTCATGGGAGCAGGGCATCGTCCCTGTGATTGTCTGTTTGTTGTTGAAGCAGAATGGAAAGCCGTAGTAGCCCCAGCGAGCTCGTGGTCGCAACGCCTTAGCTAGTCGTAGAGTTTCCAACAGAAACACTTTAGCTGCAGACTCAAACCTGTCGGCTGCCTGGAACAAGATCCAACAGTGAACCAATTTTCAATCATCAACTGTTAATGTTGTGTATGAGCATTTTTACACATAAGAATACTGGGAATGTCAAACAAACTCAAAATGGGAATCTATTTGTATCTAGACTATTTGTAACTCTCTTTGTTTTCAACCTTCAGTCAGTCAAAAAATCATTATACAGGTAAAATAAATTCCTGGCAAATTTTAATGAAATTTAGGATACAGTGTGAAAATCCCTGTTCATTAAAAATCAGAATTCATTGTCCTACTTCTGGATATTGCTTTATATTAATTAAATTATTATTGTTACCTTACAATATCCGTTTAGAGTTGGTAGATAGACAACTACATGTTTCGTGGCGACTGCCACATCCTCAGGTTATCCTCTTCTCAGATTCGTCATTAATTTAAAACATAAAACACTGAACACACGTAGAAAAACACATTACATTTATTTCTGTACAGTCACGGTGCGTGCACGCGTTTGGTCGGGCCGGCAGCGACTGGCATTCCAGTCGCTGCCGGCCCGACCAAACGCGTGCACGCACCGTGACTGTACAGAAATAAATGTAATGTGTTTTTCTACGTGTGTTCAGTGTTTTATGTTTTAAATTAATGACGAATCTGAGAAGAGGATAACCTGATGATCACAAGCGATATGTTTACGATTTTGCCGGGTTTTCTAAATACATTTAACTAGGTGGCGTTTGCAGGGGCATCCACAAAATTGAGCGGAGTCATCAAGGGTTCATATTATGTTGTTTTTGTCATACTGCAGTAAAAACAGTCGTTTTAAATGCATGCGTTGCGGGTCTAAAGTAGCATTTTTACTCTTTAGGGAGTAAAAATCAGCTGTTGTCAACTCAGTTGTAAATTTCTATTGTAAACGATTGCATGTATCGAAATATGTATCGATTCGTGCTTCGTAATCATTTTAACCTACAGTCTACAGTCTCTACCCATAGCATTTTAGCATCGCAGATACATTAATCCATACCCACACTCAACACTGCTCACCTTTACTACTTCCTTCACCACCCCCTATGTCGTGGACCTGTTTCCCTCTATTCCCATAGCATTTTAGGATTGCAGATACATTAATGTAATTGCCAAAGACAGTTCCCACACTCTGCACTGCAAGCCTTACTACTTCCTTCACCATTTCCTACGTCATGGACCTGTTTTCATCACTTTCCATAGCATTTTAGTATTTTAGATACGTTAATCTAATTGCCACAAACATTGCCCACACTCCGCACTGCTAGCCTTTACTACTTCTTTCACCATTTTCTATGTCGTGGGCATGCTTCCATCCCTTCTCATAGCATTTCAGCATTGCAGATACATTAATCTAACTGATACAAACTGTTTCCAGTTCCCACACTCCACACTTCTCACCTTACTACTTCCTTCACCTCTTCTTACGTCGCGGGCCTGTTTCCCTCTCTTCCCATAGAATTTTAAGATTGTAGATACCTTAATCTAATCGTCATAAACAGTTCCCACACTCCGCCTTGACTACTTCCTTCACCACTTCCTACGTCACGGACCTGTTTCCCTCCCTTTCCGTAGCATTTTTGGATTACAGATATCTTAATCTAATCGTAATAAACAGTTCCCACACTCCGAAAAAAAACTCGCCTTTACTACTACATTCACCAATTCCTACGTCACGGACCAGTTTTCCTCCCTTCCCATAGCATTTTAGGTTTACCTTAATCTAATCGTCAAAAACGGTTTCCACACTCCGGAAAGCTCGCCTTGACTACTTCCATCACCACTTCCTACGTCACGGACCTGTTTTCCACCCTTCCCATAGCATTTTAGGTTTGTAGATACCTTAATCTAATTGTCATAAACAGTTCCCACACTTCGGACAGCTCGCCTTGACTATTTCCTTCACCATTTCCTACGTCGGGGACCCGTTTTCCTCCCTTTCCATAGAATTTTAGTAATGCAGATACCTAAATCTAATCGTCGTAAACAGTTTCCACAATCCGGACAGCTCGCCTTGACTACTTCTTTCACCAATTCCTTCGTCGCGAACCCGTTTTCCTCCCTACCCATAGAATTTTAGGAATGCAGATACCTTAATCTAATCGTCATACACAGTTCCCACACTCCGGACAGCTCGCCTTGACTATTTCCTTCACCACTTCCTACGTCGCGGACCCGTTTTCCTCCCATTCCATAAAATTGTAGTAATGCAGATACCTAAATCTAATCGTCATAAACAGTTCCCACACTCCGGACAGCTCGCCTTGACTATTTCCCTTACCACTTCCTACGTCATAGACCTATATACCTCCCTTCCCTTGGCATTATTGGATTAAAAATACCTTAATCTATTGGTCATAAACAGATCCCACACTCCGGACAACTCGCCTTTACTACTACCTTCACCACTTCCTACGTCACGGACCTGTTTTCCTCCCTTCCCATAGCATATTAGGTTTGTAGATACTTTAATCTAGTCGTCAAAAACGGTTTCCACACTCCGGTAAGCTCGCCTTGACTACTTCCATCACCACTTCCTACTTCACGGACCTGTTTTCCTCCCTTCCCATAGCATATTAGGTTTGTAGATACTTTAATCTAATCGTCATAAACAGTTCCCACACTCCGGACAGCTTGCCTTGACTACTTCCTTTACCACTTCCTACGTCGCGGACCCGTTTTCCTCCCTTCCTATTGAATTTTAGGAATGCAGATATTTTAATCTAATCGTCATAAACAGTTCCCACATTCCGGACAGCTCGCCTTTACTACTTCCTTCACCACTTCCTACGTCGTGGACCCGTTTTCCTCCCTTCCCATAGAATTTTAGGAATGCAGATACCTAAATCTAATCGTCATAAACAGTTTCCGTTTCCACACTCCAGGCTGCTCACCTTTACTACTTCCTTTACCACTTCCTACGCCATAGACCTCAAGCTAGTGTCGTCATTTGATTATATTTATGATCCATACCGTTTCTGTTCTAATATCTGTGGATTAATGCTATCAGCTATTTCTTTATCTACTGCATTCAAAAGTCAACAGCTGATCATATGTTTTTGTTTATGTGTCAAATACTGCTTCCATAAGGATTACATTGAAACTTTGATACCCAGTGGGGCGGATTCCTGAGAGACTTTTTTAATGCCATATAGATGTTGGCACTCACCGATATGGTCTTTATCACCATGCAAAATTTGAAAACGATTGATTCAGCCGTCTAGGAGGAGTTTGCGTATTACGAAATGCATAAGAGTCGACGTGTAAGAGCTTCGCTCGCTTCGCTTGCTCCGCTCAATTATGATGCCTCGGTCACCGCAAAAGATGTTCACGATTTCATTACTAATTTTTTCAAATGTTAAAACACCACGTTTTTACTTCGCAAACACAAGCTTTAAAAGTGTAAAATATGGGATGGTTTTCACATTTGAGTTGAGTAATTTAAAAGAAATTTAATTGCAATCTGTCAACATTATGAACATGTAGGGTTATTTAAGATTTCCTTCTGACTCCTTGGAAAGCGATCCCCAATAAGATGGGGGCAAATTATATTAGTAGATTTTTAGGTATGATACATAACTGCAACCTTTGTTGCATTTATCTTCCCTGACTTTTTGAGGGCCTTGTAATCGTTTATGCCACCAACGAACGGTTGCTTCTGGCATTCCCGGGGTCAATGACCTGTCACTGTCACACAGAGTGTGTTGTGTTGTGTTGTCATCAGTGATGTCACGACCTTCAGTGTCATGCATCTGCGGTGGTCACGGAACATCTTAGTGACCTAGAGCAGTTTGTCACTGTCAGTGTCATTCATGGTTTCAGTGTGTAGGCCTCTATCACTGCGAGATCACAAAACCTCATTTTTTATCTTGTAAGTTACTAGAATCAGGATGGTTGGTCATGATCGTTGATCGACACTCTAATGTTTGTCAGTGTCTTTTATGATACCGGTATTATATCACTTATCAAAATAGGATTGCATAACCTCATGTGTTCATTTGTATGTTGTGTTTCTCTAATCTGTTGAAGCAAGACGATTGGATTAGATGTTTGCGCTAATGATACACCATGAATGATGGGAGTGTAATGAATGAATTAGATGACAGAGCTGTCTATTGAAATATACAATGAAAACAAAATCGAACGTTGGCTAAGTCTTTTCTTCTTTACATTTTTCACAAATAGCATTACAATATTTTACTTTAATTCCCTAACACATCAATAAATCATACTATGAAAACACAAAATCCTCTCACAACGCAATACTTATCTAACGTAAGTCATTTTCTCCTTTACATTTTATACAAATAATAAAATTACAACATTTTACTTGAATTCACTGAAATATCACCAACTAACAGGTATAACCGATAACCCCAAATTCATATGGATGTAAACAAAATTGTATCATGGCCACCTGTTTTGGTTTAAACAAACGTTAAAAGCCTATGACGAAGGGCTTTCACGGGATATCATCCAAATCCGCAAGAGGCACATCCAAAGGATCAGAGCTTTAAATTGATACCGGTACCCAATATGCCTATAAAAATAAATGTTTAGGGGTCAATTTGCTTCAGACAAAAATAAAAAAAATATTTTAATATGGATGCTTTATAAATAGTAACTGTAGGAAAAATATAATGTGTAACGCGAGTGCAAACTGCCTTTGCTGCACTCGAGAAACTTTCCACACTCGCCTTTCCACGGCTCGTGTGTTATTTCTCTTTTGTGCAGCAAAGTGCCACTTCACCCACTATTTACACAAATTACTATTTCGTTACGTTTTAACCGTAATATGGGGCTTTATGAATACGAAAATGTTTCAGGTCTCTGTGCATGCATGATGAGTACACATGTAGGAAATTTGTTATAAAAATAGGTGTAAGGTGTTTTAACGTTCAGGGGAAAATTGAGTTTTTATTACTTTTAGTACAGTAGGGTCTATTTACGCACCAGACATTGCTATTCATTGTAATTATTCCTCAATACACTTTCTAATTAAAGTTAGCGACACCCTTAACACTGGTTCTAATGAGATTTAAAACCTGGATCTGTTTTCTTGTTTTGTGCCCTGTGAATTCTAGTTTTTTTAATAGACTCGTTTAGTGTAATGAATTGGTTCCATCGGTCGGACACTCATGCACTCTCTTTCGTGGTTTTATGTGTGATCAAATGCTAGAAAAATGTATTAACAAGCATTATACAGACATCTATTCAGACAAGTTTTTCATTATTAACTTTTGCAATGTTGGTCAGCCTCGATGATGTGTCTATCAAGGTAAACCACAGCTGATGACAAGCTCCTTGACACAAACTGACTGAATTTGAGTCACGACTTTGAGACTCCCTCAACACGCGCAGCGGAAAAGTCACAGGCCTACAACTATATTACAGGCTACGGATGCGTTTTTTGCCCTAGGACGCAAGGCACGAGCACGGGATTGTTTTCACATTACTTCAGGCTAGACCTAAGGGTTGTGGCACTATCACTTAGATAAAATCCATATTGGTGATTTGGCGGGATTTGAACCCGAGATCTCAGGGATCGAAGTCCCGTGCTCAATGTACAAGTTGATGTTACACAGTAAGCCAAAGTCTGCGGAGACCAGTATGAGTAGATCTCAATCAGGCCTACAACAGTCTGCAGCGGAGACCGCATAGTTCTTATGGTGACGTCATTTGATTAAATGCTGCAGATATATCATTTATTTACCTAACCCACCATGTTAAACTTCCCTATCCCAAGCTTGATGTATACAACGATGTACTTCCTGCGTGATGTAAAAACGCTCTTACTACACTTGTAAGGTGTGGCTCTTGTAAGGTGTGGCACTTGTAAGTAAATGGCTATTACTTTGACGGCAAACACCGTTTTACATCATCGTAAGTAAAGCAACGGCGACGTCACTATATACTTAATACACGTTGTATGGACATGTAAATGAAATGAAATGAAAATGAAATGAAAATCCTTCTTTATTGAGGCGAACTTAGGACCTCATGGTCCTTTCTTACAGTTAACCTCTAAATAATAATAGTAATAACAATAATACATGATATGAACAAAAGTAAAATACACATTTCGTAACATAATTAATAATAAACAACATAACATACATTTATTTTCCTAGCATACAGTCACACACACATACACTCTTTGCAGCAGCTAAGCCTAACGCACGCCATCCCGCCACGCCACTACCATCCGGTTGAGATAATATTCTTTCAGTGTCGCCTTCAGTCGGGATCGGTTTTCTATGGATTTAATGGCATCGGGTATAGAGTTCCATAGGCGGCATGCTGTGACTACAAATGATTTATTATAAATAGTTGTTCTGTGACGAGGAATGCGCAACGTAGACGAGCCAGAGCGAGTATCCCTTGCACCAAAAGTACAAGGGAACCTTGCACCTTCCGGTAGTTACATGTACCGATAGTGAACGTAACTATTTCTTCCTTGCACAATTTTTCTCTGCGTTACCTACATGATTCATATAATAAATTATCACAATTTACTTTGATATATAGTACTCGTATCAACTCAGTTTTTAAATCAATCTATTTATAGATTTAAACGCATATGAGACCTAGAGAATTGTTTGAGGCCCAGTTATTTTGCGGACGCGCTACGGGTTTAATCACCGTGTGGTAGATAACAAACCGATGACATTGCCAACAATGCAACCTGAAGAGCATTTTAATACGGTCGAGGAAACTTGTCATCCTTCTGAAATGACACATTTGAAAATGGTTAGCCTACAATCAATGTGTCAACTATAGTGTGGCTTTGTTACCAACTGAACAGCCGTTTCAATAACCAGGACCGTACAGTATTGAAAAAAAATGTATCAGCAATTTGACTCATACTTTCTGTCATTAGCCTGTCAACCTTTATCCTAGGTAAGCGGTGGGAGTAAATATAATTTTTATGGGGAAAATCGCGAAGGTGTCAATAACTTTTGATCTGTAGTTTTTATTGCAATGGGGTTTGTGCCGTTGAGTTTATAGTTACAAAGACTAATAAATCTGAGCAAAAACCGTTCGAGCAGTTTTTTTTTAAATCCGATTTTCGTTATTTTATGGGAACCCTTATCTCTATTCATAAAAATCAAAATTTCAAAAAATTGAAGATAAATGCCTGGATATACCTGAAATAGTATCCACACACAGACATCATTTCGAAAACAACTTTTTGGGTCCAGGGGGCACAAACCGGATATCCACCAAAACTGAAATTCGAAAATTATGACGAAAACAATACTTTTTCCAGTTTCTCCATACTGTGTATATAAGGAGGAATTTAAAAAAAAGCTATGAATGACAACGACAACTGAGTTCAGTGTTGTGCCATCAAAAAACTACTGACTAATTATCTACAAACGATATTATTATTTTATCACTATCGAAAAGGTGAACTTATGTATTAGCCACGGAGTGTTGTCTAGCTATGTAAATTTATCCATCTTATTTTATCCTTCCATATTATATGCTGCTTCTATGACATCTAAATTGTTAGGTCTACGCGAAGCGACATATTTCATCGAAGAATGTCAAATGCATCTAAGGAAAAGCGGTCTAAGTCTCTCAAATTTGTAAAGGCCTACATACATCTGGATATTGACCAGTCCTTAGTTAGATGGATGGTCAGGAGACAGGTTCCATCATTCAGACTATAGGCATTACACCCCAATTATTTATATTGCTTAATTTTTAATACTAGCCTCGGAATCACGATGGATAAATGGCATATTAAATCTCATGATTTAAGTAGGTACTATAATCTTTTTGAAGTGACTTGTGATTGATTATTATAGCCTATACTTACATAAGTTCGCAATAAAGAATTGAATACCAATAGAAGCTGTACGCGTTTAGAGCTCCTATTAAAATAAGAGTTGGGATTTGCAATGAATACAGTATTATCATTGACTATACGTATTATCATAGACAAAAAGAATTGTATTATTCATTGAGCTGAGTGAGATACCATGTGTAGCTTTGTGACTAAAACTATTTTCAATGTTAAAACCAGCTGTTAGTTGATGGTAAAACCATCTGGTATGCGTACGCCTATGAATAGTGCAAAAAATACACTTCCCATTCCATTGTAAACTATGAAGCCTGTTTTAATGTAAAGTTCAAAGGTAAAGCTTAAAAGTGTTCTAATCGATTAAATGTTTTCCTGAAGATTTAGGGTAGATTTAACAGCTTATGACGTCAACTTTGGACATAACCTAGAGGCAAGCCTTACATACCCTAGACATAGCACCTCCACCATTGGGCATTCTCCATATTACTCTGGTTTAAATTTTATAATAGCCTGCCTAGCACCATGAAGGGTTTGACAGATTTTAAGGGATTTAAAACCAGTTTATTCCAATTGTTGTCAGATAAATGCTGCTACAGGATTGGGGACTTTTTCAATTAGTTAGTAGTACTAATACAAATCAATAGTTTTCTGTAATGATTTTACATAAAACCGCCTCATAATCCAACTTCCTGGCATAAACCATATCTAGCCGCTAGCCTATTACATATCGTTATATTATAAAACGTGTAAGTAAGTTAGCAAAATTCTATCGGCTTAAATTAAATCATGGAAGTATTATAATAAAGTATATTGATAAGCATTTTCTTTATTTTTACACAAAACGAGCTCTTGCAAGCAAGATTTAAATACTTATGGACTCAACTAGTCAAAATAAGTTTTTAATGATTGAGTTGAATTTAAAATACACATAATTGAAATTCA